TGCTGTGAGTTCTGACAAATTGTGGTGTCAGGAGAAAGCCCATGTCTTGTCATGATAACCAGGAGGAACCTGCAGATAGGCTGGCTCTTGCTTAAAATCCAGAGAAGCATCACAATCCTGTTGGACTTAGCCAGCCAGATCTCTGTACACCCCCTTGACTACTCCCTTCTTCATAGCTCCCATCACAGTCTATTAGATTACCACTGTGATCCCATCACAGTCTCCACCATCAGGTTTATGAATCTGACTCACCTGGTACCCAAAGACTTAGAAAAATGTATCCAAAGTCAGAGACTAAAAGCCAAGAAATATGATGGTTCTTAGAGGCCCTTGGTTAACCCAGAACGTGATGACCACAGGCTGAATTACTTCAGGGTCTACATTGACATCACTGTACAAGGCTAACATGTGGGGCTTGGGAGAAGATGGTGGCCACATGTAGTTGGCCAGTAGTGGTGACAACCATCTTTAATGCCCAAAGTGTGCTGCCTACATAAATAACGTCACTTTAAAACCTAAACATAAAATAATAATAATAACAATAATAATAATAATAATAAATAAATAAAGATGCCATTCCTGCTCACTGTGGCTGCCATTTAAATTTTCAGGGAGACTTTTTACTGTATTTTCATCATTAGATGCAATTTATCTGTTTCTTATGTTGTTGTTGAAAAGGTGCTAAATATTGTGAGTGATCTAGTTATTGAGATGTCTGATATGGGAACATAGGTATTTCTTGTTCCCTTCTGACACAGCTTCAGAGAAGGACCCACTAGCAAAAGAGAAGGCAAGGGACATTTAATTAGTAGGATGACAATAATCTAAAGAAAGGCAGCCCTGGCCAGTGTGGCTAAGTTGGTTGAGCGTAGTCCCATGTACCAAAGGTCGCTGGTTCTATTCCCAATATGGGGTGTACAGGAGGCAGTCGATTGATGTTTCTCTCTCACATCCATGTTTCTCTCTCTCTCCCCCTCTCCCATCTTCTCCCTCTAAAATCAATAAGGACATTTTAAAAAAAGAAATAAAGGCAATGGAAAATGACGTCTGCTGTACTAACTTAACCCATCAAC